AGGCCAGGATTTATCTTGAACGCTTTAAATTAAATTAAAGGAAAGTTGAACCCATAAAATTATTAATTACGATTAAAAATTTTAAATTATTAAAATTTCAATAATAAATTATAGTCTTTACTCAAAATTAAAAATATATAAGTTTTAAATTAAAAAATATATACTATTAAAATTTTCAGTAATTTCAGTAGTTCTAATGCATAACATTTGAGATCCTAATTTTTCAACTGAGATTAAAAATAGTCTCAATCTATTATAATAATTTTAGTAATGTTTTTTCTTAATTTTTCAAGTCATTTACTTATATATTGACGAGCATTAAAATTTACAAGTAATTAATTTTATATTTAAAAGTGAATTTAATAAATTTGCAAATGACTATCATAAATTTATAAGTGTTTTTTAAAAATTTTATAAGTGAATGTTAATTTCATATTAAAAACCAACACATTCCCAAGCATGGTTTCTAATTTTTTTTAACTAAAATTAATAACAGTCACGAATCATAATATATAATAATTTCAATAGTATTTTTTCTTGATTTTAAACTCACATGTTTTTAAGTCCAAACAAATATTATAGTCTATTATTGAGATTTTAATAATTTAGTATCATTAATTTAATTAATGATATTCTTAATTGTCATTCTTCCTAAATTAAATTAGTTTGTTTTTAATTTGAAGGGCAATAGATTATTGGGTGCCGCAAATATTGTTTAGCAAGGCCAATGGGAATCGGAGTGATAATGAAAGGGGAACCTGCCGGGAATTAAATGGTGGTAGATGAGTGAGTGTACAGTTATTCGTTAATCGTAATACATTTATTTCATATCTCTTTTCCTCTCTCTAATTCGTTACACACTCGCTAAGCGCATACGTACGTGCGACATGCGACTACTTTTTTGCTAGTTTAATTTAAAGTCACTCCATCTCTTGACTACTGCTCCACAATACAATAAAAGGTACTATTCTCATTTAATTTATATTAAAATAAAATTTAAAACTTGACTCTGTCTTAAAATTTTATAAATTATTAATTTTATTTCTATTAAATTTATATACTTTAATAACATACTTTTCTAAGTGAAAGCCATCCTGTCCCTTCTTTAATTTCCCTCACAGTTCGGGTAAGCCATACTGTCCCTTCTTTAATTTCCCTCACAATTCGGGTGTGTTATTGAAGTATTTATATAGAATATTTAATAAAAAAAATAGTATTTTGAATGCTCTTACTCTTTATCGACAGAGATAACCGACAGGGGAAAAAAATTCCATTGAAGTTTGAAAATGACAATCATTTTTTTTTTTGGGACAAACATTGTGAGAATGGAGAGAGTAATTATTACCCTTATGCATGAAGATTATTAAGTAGCCTGAATAAAGATCAATTATTATCATAAATTCTCTGTATTTTGTGTATTTGGCTTTCTATAAGAAAAATTGGTTCATACTTTTCTTCCTTCTAAAATTCTAAAGCACTACTTAATGATACTCCCTCTAGTCCTATTTCTATAGGGTAGAAAGAAAATATTTTTTTAAATTTTATTTATAAGTTATCTCATCAAATTTTTATGACAAATTTCCCTCTATTAAATGTTGAAAAGAAAAAATATATTGTTAAAGTAATAAGTTTAAAGGTTTTTCTTGATTCTAGTAAAACATGTTAGAAATGACTTATAAATAAAATAAAAAAATCTTATTAATTACACTCCTAATTAAGAGTATTTTTGGAGAAAAAATCTCATTAATTGCATCTTGAAAGACTCAAAATATCTTAATATATTTTTTAACATCTTACGTAAGAAAACGAGAAAATTAGCTTTATGGCCTCAAAAAATATAACTCCCATAAATTATGGATGAGGTTTTTGAATATTTTAGAATATGGCCCATTCATAGCAATTAGATGAGTTTTTTTTATTTTTTATCCTTAGAATAAATTTATTATTAAAACAAAATATATCTTATTTAACTAATTTTTAAATGATTGAATCTTTTATTTTTATTATCAAAAATCGTATTGTGCATGCTTGCTCTCTGATTTATCATCTTTGAATATTTTTTTATCAGATTTTTTGATCTGATTTTTTTGGATTACCATATTCATTTCTTGTACAGTGCTTTCTTTTATCAGAATTTTTGATCTAATTTGCCTAGATCACCATCTTTATCGCAAAGCTTTTCCTCTCTCTTCCTCTCTGTTTTTCCTAAATATTACACAGAAGACATTAGGCATTAGAGAGAAAACTCCATTACTGATCTGCGATACTACATCGTTGACATACAACTGTATTTTAATAATAAATAAATTGATAAGTTTTTGCTAATATAGCTTATATATCAGTGATATATAATAGTATATCATTAATATACTATCGTAGATCAACATAATCAGACGATCAAACATAAACTTATTTATAATTGATATACAGTCGTATATCAATGATGTAGTATCACAGATCAGTAATACAAAAAATACATAATTATTTGCCCAAAATAGATCAAACATAATCCACAAAAAATTTTAAACTCTTAGCTTATCACAGAGAATCAAATACCTAAACTAGTAAAATTATAAATTATAAATTTGTAGCTTCATTTCCCCATCAGCGTGCTCTATTCTGTTAATTACCATCAATGTATCTAACCTCACACATGTCTCTCACCATCGTGACTGTGGCTCACTCACATTACTTTGCTATCTTATGTTCGTCTCTCTCGCATTGAGTTTCATCTTCTCTCTCGCATTTGTATCTCTCATTCCGAAGATTTCTTGCATTTTGAATCTTCTGATATTTGAAAAGGCAGATATTAAAAAGGGTAGTTTTGTAAATTAATTACAATCTAAAAATTAAAAAGGCTATTTTTGAAATTTAAAAAAGGATAGGCTATTTCTTTTACTTGGTTTTATAATACGGGCTATATGTGCAAAAGCCTCTGAGAAAAAATGTCTTATATTTTTAACTGATGGGAGTAAATAAAATTATATAAATTAATTAATATTCTAAAGCAACAATTATTTTGAAATGAGGTAGTGATCATCTTTTTTTATTTATGGGATTTCAACTCTCTTATCACCATTTAAACTCTACTCTGTATTTATCACCTAAATTTCTAAATTATTCTTAGGTGGCTGTGAATGCAATTTTAATAGAGTACTTTTATTCATTTTCTAGCTTTTTTTTATAACATTTATATATAATTTTTATACCAAGGCTATGTATTTCTTGAACTACTAGACGATTCAGGCCGGCTTCAAAGGAGAAAACTACCAACTATGTTTTTAAAATGTGCTTTTAAGACATCACTATCATCTGTTCATTCTAACATTTTTGACGTTTCAATACAATAATTACATTAAAGGGAGGGTCATCATTTTATTGAGTTACTAGTCATACAAATACACTTGCTAGGGATTCATCATTTGGTGTACTTAATTTGTGCATTTCAAACCCTACTATAATGCATGGGTCATGGAGTGCATTTTACATCTGTTGAAGATAATTAATTGGAGTACCGTAATATTTCTATTATTTAAGTCAGAAAATAGTGTGACGTAAAGTAGTTTATCTACACGAGATAATTGTTTATCTAAAAAGCACATGAAGTTGAAATAGCACTTGTTTCTTCCAGTCCTATGTATAAGATAGAAATAAAATTTTTTTTATCATATTTAGAAGTCATGTTCTTAAATTTTCATTACAATTTTTTTTCAATTATTCCGATTAAATATGTGAGAAAAAAACATATGTTTTAAATAGATATATCCATTGTTGTCAAATTCTCGAGCTAATTTTTTGAGTTTATCATTACTACTTTTTTAGTTATAAAATCGTTCAACTCATCCATAAACTTGAATTAGATGTAAACTTAGTTAAACTCACAAATTAAGTCTTTGAGTTTATTATTTTTTACATTTCTAGCTTATAAATATTGTGTCAAATTATTTATAAATGTAGATGCAAACTTGGTTATGATCACTAGTAAACTCATCAATATTTTGCCAAGTTGAGTAAGTTAGGTATGTATTGTGTAGAACTCAATTCATAAAAGCGGTAAAAAATTCAAAGAAAAATAAAATTCAAAAAGCAAAAACTAACATTATTAATTTAATTTCAATGATTTATATTTAAAATATATTTTAATATTTTAATTATTTAATCATATACTTTTAATAATGGATATTTATTAATAAAAATAAATTCTTAGAGGATGTAATTGATAAATTTTTCTAATGATGTAATTAATAATGTTTTCTAATTGGAAGATGTTATTAAATAAGAGTAAATAAATAAAAGAGTGTGCAATTTTTAAAAAATTAATTAATTCATTAGAAGGAGCCAATATAATTTAATTAAAAGTGTCTTGAATGGGGAGGGAAAGGGAGTCAATATAGGAATATAGGAATATAGGATCACATGGAGTAATTGTTTATTCTAAAAAAGAAAAATTGAAATATATAAGAAACCATAACGACTGAGAAACAACCTGTGTCTGGTCAAAAAAAAGAAAAACAAACTGTATGTATTTATTTACCTCGAAGATATGAGTTGGTTATAAAAAGATATATGATATCTCACCAACCATAGATATTTACTCCACAAATTTCCGGACACAAAAAATCGTATCTGCAAGTAGCAATGAATACGATACATTACACGTACACTACGTCACTAGTTAGCAGGCTTTAAACTATATATGATTCAGCCGCGCGCACTTGATAAAATTTTAAATCCAATCATTTATTTGTTATTAAAACGTACCCCAATCACGATGGATTCATATAAAACATGCACAGTACACAATTTTTCCTCTCTCGTGTTAATCTCGACAATGTACTAAAAATACTTTGCCAGCACCCTCCAGTCTCTCTCACACACACAGTAATAGCACCCATATAATATAATGATCATTTAATAATTCTTGACCCTTGCTTGAAAGCTAGAAGTTTTAACTTTGATTTGATAGTATTTATGTGATGCCTATTTCTCTTGATCAGCCTTGGCTTGAACTTAAGCTTCAGATTAATAAGCCCTCTTGTCTCTTCCCAAACCCCAAGGAAAAATCTCTCTCTCTCTCTCTCTCACAGGGGTGACACGTTATATAAACCCAGAGGGTTTCTCTGGTTCTGCACTGTGTGATATAGACAGAGAGAAAAAGAAGAAGATCATGATGATGAAGGAGGAGGGTGAGGAGGAGATCATGATGATAGGAGGAGGAAGCAAGAATACAAGCTTCAGGAAGGGAAGCTTCAGGTTGGGATCAGTGACTTGTAAGGACCAAACTGTGATACGGCTCGGAAATATTGACACTCACAGACTTCTTCTTTCTGGAGAGAGGGAGAGTCATCCTCACCTTCGAACCCTTCCTACCAACTCTCTCTCCTCCGGGCAGATGAAAACCCTAACTGCTTTCTGTGACGCCATCTTACCTTCCATAAACGATGTCGTCTTCCCCCTCGATCCCTCCCACGACCCCCTCGCCACCTTCTTCCGTACCTCCGCTTCCATGGCTGGAACTCACCTCCGTGTACGTACACCGCCTTTACATTATACACTCTGCCCTTTTAATCTTCACTTTTTTACTCGTTTTAGCTCATCACTTTAATTTGTTATAATATTTACTGTTTATATATATATGGTATATGTTCATGCTTTCTTGGATCTTATATTTTTTTTTCTAATTATAATATATATATTCGTTACCTAGCACCCATGTTTGATTGTAGTTTGTCACTTTTTTGTATTTAGGAAGACAAAAGAGATCGAGTTTCAGTATTTTACAGTCACGTCTCAATAACATCTTTGAGAGGGGAAAAAACGGCTGATTTTTTTTTTCTTTCAATTTCTCAAGTTGTTGAAAAGTCAAGTGAGAGTTGATATATGATTAGAATTTAGAAGAATTAGGAAAATTCCACGTGGGATAGGGTCATGATAAGAAATAACAGGCACATAATATTTGGGGAAAAAAGCGAAGATAAATAATATGAAAATTGGCATAGCATTAAAAATCAAGTCAATCTTCGGTAAATCATTAGATAATGAGAAATTTGACCGCCAGTTTAATAAAATGTTTTGTTCACGAACAGGTTTGATCATAATTTGATCACTTGAATTTAATTATTAAATTCTTGAACGTATAGATGAATGAGGAGTTTAGATTTTAATTATGACTTGTAAATAGATAGAGATCGAGATGAAGGGGGTGAATAAGTGGAAGTGTTGTGAATGTGCAGGTCGGGGGAATAATGAGTGAGAAACTGAAGCACCCAAACACGGAGTTGTTGAAGTTGGTGCTTGGGCTCATGTCAACTTGGGTCGGCACATTGATACTGTGTGGCCTACCCAGCGTCTCTCTCCGCTTCCCTTTCTTCCACGCCGCGCCTCGCCTCCCTCTTCATAAACGACACCGTATCCTCGACTCCTGGTTCTCCAGTTACTTCCGTCACCTCCGCATGCTCGCCCGTACCCTCAAGGTCCTCACTCTCCTAACTTTCTTCACTCAGGTACGTCCCATTTAATTATTTTTATAACAGTACTTTTTCTGAAATATCATATTTAAAAATCTGTGTGCTGTGAGTGATGTACGTGTATGCCTACATATACATATATATATATATATATATTGGGCCCTCGTCATTAGATCTGGGAAATTAATAGTAAATTTAAATTGGATGATTAAAAATGGATATGAGATGAGATCTCGTGTGATATTTAACAAAGGAAACGATACACAAGGGAGAATTCAATATAATTGCTGTTACTAATGCGAAAGCGATGATGAACGTTTTGTCATTTTCATTCACCAATATAATACATACCCCTCGTTTGTTATAATAATAAGCAGAGAATAGAAAACTAAATACTAAATACTGAATAAAATATGTCGGCACTGTGTTAAAAAAAAAATTGCCACGTCCGTGCATGCCAGCGAATTCGTCTATCCTTTCCCTTTACAATTTTTACATACTAGTCTATTATATTTATTAGGTAAAATATTTTAATTTTATAATTCCTGGCAAACAACTTAACAGGATGGGTATATATTTTCTTACCGCTATTAAATACTCCCTCCATGTTTTATTTATAGAAAAACTATTTCTTTTAACTTTTTTTAAATAAATAAAATTACATTTTTCAATAAGTATTTATTGTAAAGTTTTTAAATCACCCCTCATAATTTAATAAAAAATAATTAATAAAGAGTATTGTAATTTTTTTTTTATTTTTAAATATAATATAATTAATATAGTTAATTGATTTTTTTTAAAATTATGTAATACAAATTTTTTTTTTCAAATAAAATTGGAGGGGGTATGTAATTTAAGCTGTGAAAATTAAGTGCTTTAGACATGAGGGTGGATTAATAAAAAGACTTTTTTTATTTATTAAAAGTTGGTGAGAAATAGTTCGGTGAGTGAGGTTAGAAGTGGGCGGGGCAGAGTCCACCAAATTCCGAGGTGTGAGATGCCTTCTTTTATGGCACCCCTGCCCTACCAGGGACGCAAGTGAGAAAAACTTTTAATCAATTTTGAGTCACAATATAAATTATTATTATTATTATTTAATTTATATTTTTTTAAAAAAATTTAAAATCTTAATTTTTTAAAAAATTTATGTTTTTAATCATACTTTTAAATATAATAAATATAATATTTAACTTATTTAAAACACTCTCATTAATTAATCAATAAAAATAAAATATAATTGAAAAAATATATACTCACACCTATCTATTATCCTACATCTTGAACTAAACAAAACTTATAGAAAATAATTTATATTATGATTTGGAGGGAGTATAGTTCAATTCTGAGATAAATCAATTCTTATTCTCTTAAATTTATCTAAGTTATTGATTTGGCTCCTTAAATTTAATTGTTCTTATTTAATCCCTTATAATTCGTGAAAATAACTTAGCAATATGCCCTTGACGTTTGAAGAGGAAATAATAATGCCATTAAACTCTGATCACATGGAAAACAAAATCATGAGATGATAGCCATATATATTAATGGAAACAAAAAGCACTGTGCTAGCATGGATAGGAATAAAGAAAATTTAAAACACAAAAAACAAAATGCTGTGTATCCTTCATCATTCTGACATGGTACATGGAGAACAACTCAAGAAGAGGAATATGAAATGAAAAATACCTCATTTGGGTCGATAAGACATGAAAAAATTATCATCTGAACAGATTTTAATGATGTCATCTTTTTAAAAAAATATCAAGGACTATTTAATTATTTTCATGAAATGCATGGGGATAGATTGATAAAAAATAAATTTATAAAGGATAAATTTGATAGAGAAACTGATAATAAAATTTCTTTGAATTATTTCTTAAAAGGTCATAATTTTTTTTAAGTCTTTAAAATTTTTTTATCATTAAAAAATTAATATAAATGATCAAGTTACTCTTAATTTAAATATTAATTATTATTCACAATTTTTGTTTTAAGATTCACAATTTTTTTTCTTAAAATTGCAATAATTCAACAGCAATATTCACAAATTCATATTTAAAATCTTGATATTCATCAAGTGTTGTAAATATCAATTATAATTCACAAATTTTGTTCTAAAAATTACAAGTTTTTTTTAAAATTGATATTTAAATTAAGACTAATTTGATCATTTATATTAATTCCTCAATAACAAAAAAATTTATAAAAATTTTAAAAAAATTATGTCATTTTAAGGGATTAAAATGTCATATATATAATTTAAAAAAATTTTATTATCATTTTTTAATTTGATAATTACTCCTTTAATTTTTTATATAAAATTGGTATCTGTCGCATTAATTACGGTAGGGTATGATTAATGTACTTATTCATTTATATCTTTTTAAAAAAAATACTTATTTAATTGGATTCCGAGTTATTGCACGCAGTTAATACATGAAATGTCTAAATTAAAGCTGGCCAATGATCACGATAGTTGATATGACATGCACTAAATGGCACGTGAAATAGTGTTATGAGATCAAGTATCAAAAAGTCACAATGGCATATAAGCAAGGACATAATCCATATCAAATTATAAGCCAACGTTAAAGAAGTTTTTTATCTTAAAATATAAGATAATTAAAAAATTATTAATGATACTTTTATAATATTTCTTTTCAAATAGAGAAAGAATTAAAATGATATTATAATGTACTCTTTTCATCCTCCTTATAGGTCTTCCAACATGTTTTATTAAAATCAAGAAAAATTTTAAAATTTATTAATTTTGTGTGAAATTTTAATAAGCTATCAACTTTACATTTATTAAATATATATATATATACACACACATTAATAATATATTTTTTTCTAACATTTAATAGAAAATTAGGAAGTTTTATTGAAGTGATTTATAAATATGATAAAAAAAATCTTTTCCCTATGATTTATAAAAATGACCAGGGGAAATAATGATCAAATATGTAGGAGCATTTTTTAAATTTTATAGTTTTGTTTTAAAAAAAATACTCCCTCTATTTCTATCCGTAAGAGAAAAAATTGTATCACACAGTTTAAAAAAATCAGTTAACTATATTAATTATGTTGAAAAATAAAAGAATTTGACTAACATACCTTTTGTTAATTGTATTGATTTTTATGATTATGAATGATAAAATTATAAATGATTATTTAGCAATTTTGCAATAAATACTTATTAAAAAATATTATTTTACTTATATAAAAAATTAAGCTAAAAATGATAGTTTTTTTTTATAAATAAAAATGGAGGCAATAAATTTGTATAGTGTCATTATTGTATTTTATTGATATATATGATTTTATTTTAAATTATCGAGTAATTTGGGATGGAATGAGTTTTATATATATATATATATATATATTCAAAATTGTAAATGCTAGAATTAACGAATTATGTTGAATTTTGCGTGACTGTTCATGCTTGGATGTGGAGGCTGGATTACTCTCTCCGTTTTTGAATATGAGAGAATTTCAGCAAACGCAGACAATTTAAAAAAAAAGTTGATTAATGATCATAATAATTATGTTTGAATTTCAAATGTTTGGAGTAAAATGCTCTTTTAATTAATATTTACTTTTTCATCTAATTTAATTATATTATCCATTTATGAGAAATAATTTGGAAAAGTATAGTTAATGCTTCTTGAAATTTATAATATTGCTTATAATAAAAAACATAAGATATATTGGCCTACTGGCAAAAAAAAAAATATCTTGTACACAAAAAATTTGAACCAAATTTTTAGAAATTTTGAAATTTAATCGATTTATATTGATATACAATAATTTATTATTAATATATGATAATATATTTGAATAAATATAATAAATTAATTCTAATATAAAACATAATAAATATTAGATTTTTTATTTAATTTGATTCTATAATATAACGTTATATTTTCAAAAATCCCAAAAGCATAAAGTAATTTATTTTATATTTAAAAACGGAGTCAACTGGTCCAAAATATATTTTTTTTAAAGTATCTCATAAATATCAATGCCAGCCAGACCAAGGACCAACAGGCCCAAAATAAATTTATTTTTAAAGTATCCCAAAAGCACACAGAAATCATCATCGTCACTGCATAAATATAAATGCCAGCACACCAAGGACCAACTGAGCCAAAATATATTTATTTTTTAAGTATCTCATGTTGCACATAAATTTTTATATTCACAACTAGTAAGCAGTGCAGGTCCTGGTAAAAGAGCTTTTATCCATTTTGGTCACCTAAACATGAAATTTTGAATTTGAGCTGAGTGAATATGAGAAATATTATTAGGAAAATTATGTTCAACTGAGTCTAACAATACTTAAATGTAGTGGAATCAGATTGCCATATAATTTTTTCTTTTAAATTGACTGACCACTTAAATTGAAAAAACGTGGGGGCAATTTGTGATCCTTTTGAGCAGAGTTGGTAGTTCAGGTAAATTAAGTTTATTCGAATCGAACTTAAAGTATCATACTTATTTAAAAAATATTCATACAGTTGAGTTCAATTCTAACTTTTTTGATTAGGTTCAGACTAGTCCATTAGACTTGTCAAAATTATTAACTCTATGTACATATAAAGGAAGAAGTTTCAAAGGTTGGCTCGTGTCAGGTTAAAATTATTCAAATTAAATTTAAAATATCATATTCTACTAAAAAAAACTCAGATGACTAAACTTAACTTTAATTTTTTTAAATGAGTTTGAGTTAACCTATTATGTTTGACTCAAATCACGGACTTCACGTTACCGTTCGTGAGCCCGTGTGTTTATTTAATAATGTTGTGTCACCTCGAGGGGAGGTACAATACGATACAGCCATCCAGTGTGCACGCAGCCCAGAGATAGTGGTCCCTACTCAATTTGGTAACTTTTCGACCAGAAAAAAAGAAAAAAATATCCTTCCGTCACTAGATACTAAGATAGAGTCTTTTTTTTTTTTTTAAAAAAAGCATTTGCCCTCTTTTTTTTTTTTAATAATAGCTTACTCGAAATTTTATGATGTTTTATAAGATATTTTCACATGCATCCCTGTTTAATTTTTTTTATCATACCTAATAAATAACTTTTTACTTCATAAAATACTTAATTAGGAGTTTTTTTTTTGAAAAATATATTTAGACACAACTAAGTTTCTCAGCCTCTTTAATTTTAACAATTGAGCATTATATCTAGGGTGTGAAAGAGTAACAATAATGACTTTTACTTATACATACATCCTCCTACTGTTCTATTTATAAAGTGGATGAATAATTTTTTTGTTCTATTTATAAAATATTTTATTTTTTTTAAAAATTTTTTTACCTTGATGAAAAATATATTATTAAAGCATATATATTTAATAAGAATAAAATTAAAAATGATTAAACTTTTAAAAAGCCTACAATTTCCTCCTACAGTGTGCTACATACAAACACAATATCTTATTGTATTTCCTTTACAAGAAATATTTAAATTCCCAACAGTTATTCAGTGAAAGCCACCCATGCTCATATCTCACCAAACTCTTGTCAACTTAAAAAAAAAAAAAAAAAGAGCCCCCCGAAAAGATTATCGTTCAGTGACAGTGGGCCTTTGCTTTTTGTTGACTTCTCTGGGTGGGGTTGGGTAGGAGATAGACTGTCATGTGGGAATTCACACGAATCAGGCCGAGTGGATTAAGTTTCAGCCCAATATAAGCCAGACCCACGCAAGCCCATTTGTAGCTAAACTGACCAACGGTATCACTGGATCAAACATTTCAATACAGGAATGCTGAAAAAAAAGAATAGCAGGATTGTTTTTTATAGTTTAATGACGTCATTTTATTATTTTTTTAAAATATAGGTCGTTTGGGTTGAGTTCGGTTTATGCACAGTGGAATTACAAACCCAAACTTTGATCTATGCTGTGTCATGGGCTTTGTATTACCTGGCCCAATAACCATGCCATTAAAACAGTTCAGGAAAAACCAAATACTGTCAATCTTGCACGACATTTTAGATTATCTTGGACTTGATTTGTAGATAAGTCATATTGGTGGCACTAACTTTCTATTATCAATTTATAAGTGTGTGCGCGCGCGCGCGCGCTTTTTTTTTTTTTTCCCTGGTTTATTGGAAAATTGGAGCCTTGAACTCATGTAAGGACCATTCAATTTTCACCAGCTAGATGAAGCAGGAGAAAACCTTGCATGGAAAGCAATAGGATACACTGGACCCGACCCGGAATTCAAAGCCCAGTTGAAGAACCATTTCCTGCACGGAACATCATCGGAACCCGAAGGCCAAGACCCGAAACGAGGAGATCATGGCGAGGAAGACGATGCTGAAAAGGTTGTGGGACCACTATACAAGGGTCTTGTCCACATGAACTGCCCACGAGACATCACCATTGATGCTCTGCGACGTCGAGGATTCCCCGTCTCCGTCTTTCGCCGGAAAAACAAAGCCCCAACCTCATCATCTCCTTCCTTAGTCATCCAATGCGATGCAGTGGTCGTCGGTTCCGGCTCGGGAGGCGGTGTAATCGCCGGGGTTCTAGCAAAAGCTGGCTATAAAGTTCTGGTCTTGGAGAAAGGAAGCTATGCCGCAAGAAACAATCTCAATCTTCTTGAAGGACCGAGCATGGATCAAATGTATCTTTCTCATGGCTTGATTGCTACCGATGATATGGGCATGTTCATACTAGCGGGATCAACTGTTGGCGGAGGATCTGCAATTAACTGGTCGGCTTGTATCAAAACTCCGAGACATGTTTGCAAGGAATGGAGCCGACAACACAGGCTAGAACTTTTCGAAAGTAAATTATACAGAGAAGCCTTGGATGTTGTATCAGAGAAGATGGGAGTTCAATCTGAAATCACAGAAGAAGGTTTCAACAATGCTGTTCTAAGACGAGGTTGTCAAGAAATGGGTTACCCGGTGAGCACCATCCCTCGGAATTCTCCACCTGATCATTACTGTGGCTGGTGTGGTATGGGCTGTAAGGATGGGAAAAAGAAAGGCACATCAGAAACATGGCTGGTGGATTTAGTTAAATCTGGTAATGGAGCTATTCTTCCGAGCTGCACGGCGATTAAAGTGGTCCACAAGAAACAAAAAGGCAAAGATCGAAGAATAGCACAAGGAGTACTGTTTGAGTATGAATACAGAGGAGTTAAGGATATCTGTATGGTTGAATCCAAGGTTACTGTTGTGGCGTGTGGAGCTATCTGTACTCCAGAATTGCTCAAAAAAAGCGGCTTGAAAAACAAGAACATAGGAAGACACTTGCATCTTCATCCAGTAACAATGGCTTGGGGATACTTCCCAGACACACCCTCTTGTGATTCTGATGAGGTGTGGCCTGAACAACATAAGAAGAGCTATGAAGGAGGGATCATGACAGCAATGTCAACTGTAGTTGCAGATTTTGAGAAATCTGGATATGGTGCTGTGATACAAACACCAGCATTGCATCCTGGTGTGTTCTCTCTTCTAATGCCTTGGGTTTCTGGGACCAACATAAAGGAAAGAATGCGCAGGTTTTCGCGAACAGCGCATGTATTCGCGTTGGCCAGAGATCAAGGATCAGGGACTGTGAGGTCTGAGAGCAACATCAGTTACAAGATGAAAGACATTGATGAGAAGAATCTGCAGAAAGGGATTGAGAAGGTGCTGAGGATTCTTGCAGCAGCTGGGGCCGAGGAAATTGGGACACATAACGATAAGGAAGGAGCTTGAATGTGAAGAAGGTGAACTATCACGAGTTGGAGAAGTTTGTGAAGGAAGAGAGTTCAAGACCAATGAGAGATCTTTCAACCCCATTATGCTCAGCACATCAGATGGGGAGCTGCCGGATGGGCGCGAATCCCAAGGAATCCGCGGTGGACCAGATGGGAGAAACATGGGAGGTGGAGGGACTTTATGTGGCAGATTCAAGTGTGTTCCCAACAGCTTTGGGCGTGAATCCAATGGTCACTGTTCAGGCTATTGCTTATTGCACTGCACAATCTGTGCTTGAAGTTCTTAGAAGGAAGAAATCTAGGTGAGGAGAACAAAACAAAATATCATCTTCTTGTGAGTTGTAATGCTGTAGCTCATTGGTACTGAGTCCATTGAGCAGGAAAAGAACAATGTCCCAATAAAATTGTTTCAGATAAACAGAATGATCATCCTAATTGATGTGATGACTTCTAATGAAATGTCAGATTGATATTTGGCACAACCTGAGTACATCCAAACACTTTATGATTTGGAGAATCATGATATTTTCAAACGACATTGGATGTGTTTTGGTTCCCACATCGAACTATACGGGAAAACTACAATTCACTTGTCATATCATTTCCAGAGAAGCATGATTTTCTATTTAAAGCTTCTCGTTTAAAACATAAAATCCATGTATTCAACTGCTTGATCTCTAAGATAGAGTTATAATCATCAGAAAATATGTAAACATTTTTCATAAACTTACTGTAAAGTTCTCAATCCTCAAGTCAAGGAAAGGAAAATACTTATAATAAGGACACAATTTCCAAAGTTGACCCAAAGCCTCTAGTCATGTCTTGAAACCCAGAATTGCAGTAGTAGAATGCAATGAAACTAATATCAGAAATAGTAGATTGGCCTAGTTGTTTCTAGTTCCTATTTTGGCCATGGTAAAATTAAATCAACTAAAGCGTTGCCTCACATGATGAAATTACTGCTTCTTGGTGGAGTTGAAGGAGTTGAATCAAAAGAGGATAATGATATACCTATATTACCTTCCAGCATGCTTCTAAGATAATATTTTTTATATTACTTATACTATATTTTTTTTTCAAAGCTCAAAATATTCTATATTATTCATTTTTAAGTGTTAATTTGTTAAATCCATGCATAATTATATGTGCGGATGTATTTCTCATGCTCATATTTCAATGCATTATAGCATCTGATTTGTGCGCCTTGCTTGACTGAGGAATATTGAAAACAAAGAAAGCTACAATAATAAGAAAAAATTGAGAATCCAGAACAGGAGAATCCAAGTCAAAACCCCATTTGGGGAATAATTGATTGTTCTACGGAGAAGAAATAAAGTGGCATCGATGCTTCCCCTAGCTTCGCATGCTTCACTCGAATCGAATCTCCAGTTATTAAATAATAATAATAATAATAATATAAGTTTTAGTCTTTAAATTTTACTTCAATTATTAATTTAATTTTCAAATTTTTACTTGATATAATTTAGTTTTGTATATTATTGAGTTATGCGGAATAAAAAATTATAAGAATTGATTTATTTTAAATAAAAAGCTATAAAAACTAATTCAATGTTCGGATGCTGAATTAAAAACTAAAATCATATTTTTGTAATAAAATGAAATTGAATCTTCCGCGATACCACACAGAGGAACCTCGAAGCCACTGGGAAAATGATAGCGGCGAATTGCAAATTGGGATAAGCCCAAAAAACTTCATTGCTAAAAGTCAATGATCCTACAGAGATAGATAGAGATGGCTAATTCCTAATTCTTATTTTATTGGGGTTAAAAGTTAAAAATGGAATATCAACTGTTCTTATGTCATGGCATGTCAGATATTTCAACATTTAAAAAAAAAAAAAAAAAACCCCATAAACACCTCCCCCATAAAGTGAGCAGCGACTGGCAATTGATTATGATGATAGCTTGTAATCATCAGAAGATATTGATAGAAACTTCTTTAGGATTGATGTGGAAACCACCCAACCATTTGACATTAAGATATTGATGCTTGTTTGTTTCTTCTGTTTATTATAAAAGCAAGTTTTGTGGAGTAAATAAACAAATGGTTATTCTGCGGAGTCCATTCTGGCATAATACACCGAAGAAGCAGTTGACCAGGTCGAGGGCGGCTTTACTTGATGAGAAGAGTTTTCTGAACAACCGTCTACATACAGTTAGGAATGGTATCTCCTTCATAGCAATGAAAGACTTGTTGCGAAGCAAGTCTCAACAACAACATCATCATCATCATCATCATCAAGTTGAAGAAGAAGCTCTATTACAAAGCAAGAAGCAGCTCAAGAACGAAGAGGAAGGTGATGGCCACCACACCTTTAGAGCACCGCCACCAATTCGTCTTCTTTCTTGTGTTCCTTGAGTAGCTTCCAAGCTTTGTTATCATTGTTACTGACCCACCCCCCCCCCCCAAAAAACAAAGTTTCTTCATCACAGAATCAAGACCATTCCCACCATGGAAAACCCTCCTCCTGGACGCAGATTGTCAGGAATCTCGTACATAATCATCATCTCTCTTTTCTTCGGCCTAATCTCCTTCATCTCATGTATTTTGGCTGAGTTCAAGAGGAATAAGGTAGGGTTTGTTCTGTTTTAATTGCTTGTAGTTATTATGAAACTGAATTAATTAAGGTCTCTGATTTCTTCCTCTGTTTTTTTTTTTTTCCGGTTCTTACATGGTTTGTTTTGCAGAAGGAGGATCTGAGATGGAATGGGAAATCATGTTTCATGCCAACAAGCGCAGCATTTGGGTTTGGTGTTGCAGCTTTGGTCAGCTTCTTCTTTGCCCAGATGATTGGGAATTCTGCTTTCTTGAGGAATTCTTGTTCAGGAGGGAAAAGAAATGTCTGTTGTAAGATACCAGTAATTGCAAAGGTTCTGCTTTTGATCTCCTGGTAGGTTTCATCTCTCTCTCTCTCTCTCTCTCTCTCTCTCTCTCTCTCGCCTACTTCTTGTTGGTTGTTTCTTCGCATTCAGAAACATCCACTCAAGAGCCACATATCAAGATCTGATTGGTTGATTAATCGATAATTACTTGATCATGAATTTTACCCACTGGAATTGACATATTTGCACCTAAGAAATGAAGTCTGATGTCTATAGCAACCGATCTAGGTGTCAAATCGAAATTTCCCGTTTCCATGTCCTGTCCTTGTTTTTGACAATGAAATGGAACGCCAGATCATTGCTTGTTAGACTTTGTTTCTTGTCTGGCTCGCCATTGTTCAGAAATTGGCCACGTGTATATCAAGTTGGTATTTTTAGGAGTTGAGAAATAAAAATCAGTCGTAAATCAGCATTAAAAAGAAACTTCACTGAAAATATATACTATACTAATATCCATATGCGTACATATATTTTTCATCTGAAATGCATGACATGTTTGACCTAACATTCTCATTTCCCATAAAATAACCGGGACAATATGACAGATGGTCATCTCTCAAATTGTTTAGTTAAGCATGCGGACCCTGCAAACAGCTCACAAATCACAAACAATCAATTTCTAAAACAAACAAATTAATCAAAAAGATCACAACTTGGTGGATTATTGGCGCAGGCTGAGCTGGGGGGTTGCAGTAATTATGCTGATAGCAGCGACAAGCATGAGCAGAAGACAGCCTTACGGAGAAGGGTGGTTGAATGGTGAGTGTTACATAGTAAGAGGAGGCACTTACGTTGGATCAGCCATATTGATCCTTGTGGCCATGGCTTCTTGTATAACAGCATCACTGCTCTCAACGGCGAAGACCACACAAGCAGATGAGAATCGTAAAGTACACGCCCAAATGGGGTAACAATGTTACAGACATTATTGGTTGTTATTTATTACAAATAAAGAAAGAAAAAGAAAAGGAGAATTGGTATGTGAAACAGAGGTTTCTTTTGAGACAATCTAAAGAATGGGGTTTTAGAAAAACTGATGCAAGTTGGAAAGAAAGGGAAATAAAGGCTTCTTCTAAAGAAAGGGATATTAATATTCTATTCTTTTGAGTAATAAAAAGAAAGTGTGTGGACCCACTTCAGGTATTTAAGTACTTAACCTCTGGTGATTTTTTTTTTTTTTACTCAATTTATACGCTACCATATAGACACTGTTACTGTATACCGTCTCTGTCCCAAGACATAATAGCTGCCTCAGATAGGAACTCCATAGTCCATTTTGGAATCCACCTGTAGAAATTAATGATTGTCTGACGTGTGTCTATATTATATAATATTATATATACACTGTTCAGTTGCATTGGGTTTGGATCCACAGTTTCATTTTGTCGCCGTTTTCTTTTAACAATTCTAAGTTGCCATGGACCGCAAAAGAATGGGGAGTCTCGCAATTGGCTTCGCCTTGGTACTTTGAATTTCAGCTTCAGACATGGTCAACATTTCAGAAACAAGATTCAATTCTCGAATATGAATGTGCCAAGTTTGACTATTCTATTTCCTTAAATCAAGCAATTCGTGCCCAAGAGACCGGGCTTTTTGATGTCAGAGATCAAGATTATCGAGTCAATATCGTATCAACATTGCAACAATCACGCCGAAACTAGGCAACAAATAACCATGCACACTAGGAAAAAGATTCCAAACCGGGTCAACCGGCAGAGAAAAATGAGGACGAAAAGAAAAAAGAATACAGAGAAAACGTATCTGGTATTTCATTATATGGCTTTATCAGCTACTGTTTGTTATATAGACAAAGAAGATTAGAAGACAAAGTACAAGCCGAAACGCCAGTAATAGGCCAAAATAAAAGGCATGAAGTTGGCTGTATTTTCTAAGTTTGATATTCTAGCAATCATCTCACCATGAGAAGTCTTCCAAACAAAGCCAAAGATCATAAGAAAGACAAAGGAGAAACCAGTAGCAGACAAGGACCAATCGGTCTTCGGAGAATAGAGAGTATGACTGCTAATAGAAAGGCATACTCCTGCCACGCCCTCTTCCACCATAGCTATAACCGCTTCCCATATTGTATGAGCTCCGGTAATATTCATTGCGTCCACTACCATAGGCACCATAACCCATAGTAGGGCTCCGATGGGAACCAAACGTCTGAAAAACAAGCAGACAAACAGAGCATGAACTAACAAAATACCTTGTGAATTTTTGGACAATTTCTAACCAGCAATGTGTTTGCAGACCTCAGAATCCAGCTTCATTCTCTCAGAAAGGCGATTCTGTCCATTCCTTGATCCATGAGTGAGAGAGTTACAAGAAATTGTGTCAAAAAAGTCGTCTTTCTTATAACCAGGCTGCAAGAAAGAACACAACCGCTCATTAAGTAGCAGCATGTTTTAGACTGCAAAAAAGGCATTCTGCAGAACTCGTGACTTTGCAATGAGCAAATTAAGGGACTGAATAAGTTGACATCTATGCAACCCCTCCAACTCCTACCTCTGGGTTTAGGTTAGGCATCAACCACGACACTCTCTGTCACCCAAGCCATTAGTTGGAGTATTATCCTCCAACCTTTCTATTGTCTTAGATGCCCTCCCAAGAGAACCCCATACTTCATCCTTTTTGAACTTCTCATTCATGGCCTCAAAATCAAACTCCTCACTGAACTGTGAAGCTGAGTGCTCAGGCTGCAAAAATAAATAAACCAATATTATAACTTCTATTTTAAAACGTAGCACTTAGGCATGCATTGAAATTTATCCAAACTGCTAGACTAGAACAGCAACTGTAATGTGAAAAAAGGTCCAAATTATATGCATAATACTAAAAGCAAAAAGGTGTGCATTCTTTCTTCCTTTCATTTTTCTTCCAAACCAGTCAACAGTAGACGTAGAACTCCAGGACTATAGCCATGAAAGCACACAAATTTATCATATAATCTGCTGTAATTTCTCCTTTAATAACATTTGATCAGTTTTAACAAATATGTATCAGACTGTTAGGTGCTCAAAAGTAACAAATCAAAATAAGAGGAACAAATCTATTAAGATGATATAGAAAAAAAATCCCATTCTATACTTCTCTCAAAGCCACAATTAGGAGAATATTCAAAATTTAAAAGACTACTTTTATTCATGAGTTCTAAGTTGCTAAGCATATTTATAAAGCAATATACAATCCAAAATACTAGATAAAATCTAGAAAACTAGATAATTAAATAAAAACTGAATAAATATCCTAAAATCTAGATCTGAATAAAATACTTATTAAAATCTAAATAAAGTCTAAAGAACTAAATATCCTAAATAACTCCAAATTCAAATTAGATAATAACAATAATAAAATCAGATTTAATTTATTTTCCATCACTTCCATCTTGAATAAGTTATCAATGGAATCTTATCATTACCCCCCCCAAAAAAAAAAAAAAACTCAACTTGTCCTCAAGTTGAAAAGAGGAAAATTGAGCTCGCAAGATGTCGTAGTCCTCCCAGCTTACTTCTTCTACAAGTCGTGCTTGCCATTGCACCAACAATTCAAGCAAATTATGGTGAGTCCAGTGATGCATGTAACTCAAAATCAGCAAAGTAGTAAGGGAGCTGGGATAATAGGTGGAACAAGCCCATGAGCAGGTCACAAGAGGCAGACATGAAAAATGGGGTGAATCTGAGCATCCAAATGAAGTTCTAATTCATAAACTACCTTCCTAATCTTCCTAAGGATCTTGCAGGGACCAAAAAACATGGTAACAATTTCTCAAACTTCCTCTTGGCAAGTGATTGTTGGCGAAAGGGCTATACTCGCAACCAACATCAACCTCGACATAATCAACTTGTCTCCGATGCTTATCAATATAAGCCTTCATCCAATTTTAAGCCTTGCACAGATCATCCTTCAACAGTTTAGGCATTGCATCCCTAGTCTCTAGTTAGTCTTCTAAGTCAGCTATAGGAGTTAATCCTTTCACATAAGGAAGCAAGGGAGGCGATCTCTATCATACACCAACTTGAATGGAGAAGGGTTTGTTGATGTATGGTGATTTGTATTGTATGAGTATTCAGCCCTAACAAAGAAACTTGTGCTACAACTACGGTTGTTTATGTGCAAAACATCACAAATAGACTTTAAGACCTTGGTCGACCACTTATGTTTGACCGTCCTTCTGAGGATGATAAGCAATATTGATTTTCAACTTAGTATGGCTCAACCAAAATAATTCTTGCCAAAATGAGTTCATGAAGACAAGATACTTATTCGATACAATTGAGCAAGGCACCCATTGTAATGAATAATTTCCTCACAAAAGACTGTCGTGACCTTCTTCGTAGTGTAAGGATGCATAAGAGCAATGAAGCGGACATACTCAATCGATCCATTACTACTAATATGACCACAAAACCACTTGACTTTAGAAAGCCGATGATGAAACCAAGTGAGATGCCCCCCCCAAATCTGAAAGGGTTTAACAAGGATTGAAGAAGACTTGCTTGTGCCAAGTTTTGATAGTTATTTTGTTGACAAGTGACACAACATCACACACATGCCTTCACATCTCCTTTCATTAAAGGTAAATAAAAGTTCTTTGCAAGCCACTTAAATGTTTTAAGAAAACCACCATGCCTACCAATAGCAGATGAATAAGCTTTTACTAGTAATTTTGGTCTCAATTGTGAGGTGTAAGGAAAGACTACTCGGTTATTATAGAAGAGCTTTTGGTCAATGAGGTGGAATCTTGGCTGAGATGACGAATCCTTTTGCAAATCCAACACTATATCGTTGGTGAAGGGATCTAGTGCCAACTTATAGGAAAGATTGTGCAACTTGGTAGCGAAAGGCACTGCCATTTGGAAAAAATCTACATGCTAAGGTCATATTGACATGCCATTTACTCCCTTATTATCCACACCTGCCTTGTGGATGATAGTAAAATTAAATAGCAAGAGCTTTATGATCAACCATTGTTGAGTCTTAGTGGCAATGCATTGTTGTAGTAGATATTGAAGGCTAGCACGATCCATCCGCACAATGAAATGCCTCCCTAAAAGGTAATGGCACCATTTCTACATTGCGAGAACTAAAGCAAGGAGTTCTTGATCATAAGTAGACTTGTAACAATTAGAGATTAAGAAACCCACACTAAAGTAAGCAATTAGATGGTTGTTCTACACAAGGATTGCTCCAATCCCCTCCGTTAACACATCACATTCAATCATGAGACATGAATTCCTCATCAAAATTAGGAAGTTGCAATACGAGGGCCGTCATCAATGCAAACTTAAGGTGACCAAAGGCCCTTTGAGGTTTTAGACCACAAAAGGCGTCGTTGGTCAATTTGGTAAGTACCCATGCAATAATCCTAAAATTCTTCACAAAACACCAGTAGTACCCTGCAAGACCTAAGAATCCATGCAACTTTGTCACATTCTTAAGGATAGGCCATTCCCATACTACCTCCACTTTTTCAACCTCAACTTCAACTCCTTGGGACAAAATTTTGTGCCTTGAAAAAGGAACTTGTGGCCTCTCAATAAAGCATTTCTTTAAGTTGACATAGAAACAATTTCTTGCAAGGCCCTCAAAACCATGCACAAGTGGTCCTGGTGTTGTTGAAAAGAGGAATTGTATACCAAGATGTCATCAAAAAATACCAATACAAATTTACGTAGATAAGGGCGAAACAAATCATTCATAGCTACTTAAAAAGAGCCTAGAGCATTAGTTAAGCGAAAAGCATAACTGTAAATTCATAGTGCCTGAAATGGGTATGGAACACAATTTTGTGGATGTCCTAAGGTAACATCTAAATTGGGTGATATCCAGGGCGAAGATCAAGTTTGGAAAAATAAATTGCCCTATGTAATTCCTCTAATAACTCATCAATACTAGGAATTGGATACTTCTTTGGGATTGTAATGCTATTCAATTTTTGATAATCCATGCAAAAATGCCACAAACCATCTTTCTTGATGACTAGTAAGACTGAGCTTGCAAATGGACTAGAACTAGGTTGAACGAACCCTTTTTTAAGCAATTTGTTGACTTGCTTCTCAATTTCTACCTTTTGATAGTGCGGGTACCAATATGGTCTTAAGTTAGGGGGTTAGCCCCTAGTAACAAGGGGATGGCATGTGAGCGGCTTCTAAATGGAGGAAAAATAGTCAGTTCTTCAAAAACAGATGGGAATTCTTCAAACAGAAGGTGCAGGTTGAAATATTTGAAAGGAACTAAGTCAACAGAAACATGAATATGTTGCATCAATTGAAATTGAGCACCCTTGCTAGTAGTATTAGGGACTCCCTAAAGCTTATACCTCTTGCTATTTAGTCAAAACATCATTAAAACCTGATTCCAATTGACTTGCCCCTTATTGAGTGATTCCAGCAACTTAATACCCATAACCAAATCAGCGCCCCCTGAGTAAATGGGTAAAAGTCTTCCTTAATGGTTAGTCCCCTCAATTTATATTTTTGCAAATTCAATTACAATGCACAATACTATTGTCATCAATTTGAACACCAGAGGTAGAGATGATGAAGTTCTTGGACTAAAGAATCTAAAATAAAATTGTGTGTGGATCTACTATCCACTAATAATAATACCTCTTGAGAACATAACATGCCTAGGAGCTTAACCCATATTGCTACCCAAAAGAGCATTAAGTGAGATTTCAGCACCTTCAAGCTCTCTCTTCCCATTTTCATCATCTTTCATGGCAGGGATGATTTCTTCACCTTCTTCTATAACTTACAACGATGCTCAAGTTCAAAGATTTCACTACAATCAAAGCATAGGCCCTTCTCCCTCCTTTGATGTTTAGCGTCCATGGTGGGTTGTCCGGACGAAGCCATGTTTGTTGATCAAAGAAGAGAAGATGCATATGTTGGAGCCCTGTATATGTTCGAAGATGCATTCGAAGTGAATGCTTCTGCTAAGCGTTTCTGGTCATGAGAAGGAGTTGAGTGCATAATTGTACTAGTCCTAGGTCTGTGCAAAATTGGGCTTAAGGCCTACGAACAAGTAGCTTCCCTTCAAACTCTAGGGCAATGTTCATGGCTCAATAAATACTCCTTGGTTTGTGAGTACGCACGTCTACACGTAACTCTTCTCTCAACCCATTCCAAAAAAAATTCCAAGCAAGCAGTGCTTCAGCTAATTCTTTACTCACGCCGAACGTTTGGCAAATTCCACATGGTTTCCCTACATTAAACCCTCCTGTTTAATGCTACATAGGAACTCGTCTGGCTTTTGGTATTCTGGGGGGTCTGAAATTCTCCTAAAACGCTGTCACGAGTTTGTGGTTGATTCAAGTGAACAAACTGAGCGTGTCACCTTCCAGTGACATTGATGCAATGTCCACCTTCTCCTCTTCGGTGTGTCATCATACTTAAAAGTATTTTTCAGCCTTTAAGATCCACCCTCAAGGGTCACCTTCGTTGAATTTTGGAAATTCAATTTTGGTGTGATGAAATTTGCTACTTTTGAGATTTTCTTGCTCATCTTTGCTTTCTTCTTCTTCACGATAGCATTTGTGATGGCTCTCTTTTGTCCTCTTACCTTTATTGAGTGTAGAGGCCTCAAGCACCTCTACCTTTTCTCTTAATACATCAAGCATCTCTAGTCTTGATGCAACGATAGTTAATTCATCTAATGCAAACAAGTTTTGATTGTTTAAGTTTTCTGGGTTAGCGGATGTGTTGTTGGATGATGTGGCAAGAGGTTTGGTTGTTTCATTCCCAACACGTGTGGTCACTATTGTAACTTGGCTCTAATGCCAAATTGTTGGGTGCTCAAAAGTAACAAAAGGAAATAAGAGGAACAAACCTATTAAGATGATCTAGAACAAAAATCCAGTTCTATATTTCTCTCAATGGCTACAACCAAGAGAATCTCCAAAGGATTTAAAAAACTATTTTATTCATGACATACTAGTTTCTGAGTTGCTGAGCATATTTATAAAACAAAATACAATCCAAAATACTAGATGAAATATAGATAAATAGATAATTAAATAAAAACTGAATAAAGTATCCTAAAATCTATATCTGAATAAAACACTAATTAAAATCTAAATAAAGTCTAAAGAACTAAATATCTAAATAAATCTCCTAAAATCTATCCTAAATAATTCCAAATTCAAATTAGATAATAACAATAATAAAATCAAACTTAATTTATCTTTTGTCGCTTCCTTCTGGAATAAGTCTTTAATGGAATCTTATCACAAACCTATTAAGCCTTGCGGGGCTAAAAAAGAGAGATACTGAATTAAGATTTTTTTTTTTTTAACAAATTTCAAACAGGAGTTAGTGAGCCGAATTCAATGTAAAACTTCTAGGAACTGAGTTTTCCACATATCTCAAACACCTCCCAGCAGGCAATTTGGTCTCTAAGTAGAATATTTAATAATTTAATGTCCTTTCCACTTTTCTGTTTTTCAACCCTTTATATCCAAATTTAATGGGAAGTATATCATTATCTTTAAAAGCTCCCCCATTGTCTTGTCATGACCTTTGACTTCATACAAACAAAATGAAAACTGCAGATAAACAGCACAGCATGTGGGGATTTGGCTCCCTTGAAGTGCAGGGTGCACTTTAAGGAATTATCTGCAGGTTGTCATCAACGTTTTCACAGCCATGCCAACAGCTGCCACAAAATAACAAATGAGATAATTCTCTAACCTTGCGCACTGAAGTTGGCAATGGTGGTGAAGGCAACAATGCTGCTTGAAATTCTGGAGAAGGTGCTAAAAAAGAGGAGCTAGAGGATGTTGGTGGCAGAGAAACCATATGATTACGACCAGGGATCTGGTTCTGCGCTAAAGAAACAAAATTCTGTCTAGAATGTGCAAACTGATCTGGAGTTAAAAAAGATGGAGGTCTTGGCAAGGAGCTCGAAGTAGAATCAACTGATGATGAAACAGAATGATGGGCAGATTGTCCAGGAAACATTGATCCCATGTAAGGAGAAATTTTGCCAGAAAATTGATCTTTGACAGGATTTATGCCTTGAATCGGTGAAGAAAATAAAGGCATGTTTGATTCAGCCATAGAAGAACGATAGGGTAATGGCGCCTTAGAAGACAAAAGAGATGGAGCATCCAGAGAATTAGAAGTTTGTAAAGAGGAAGATGAAGGTTCATAAGACGGATTTACAAGAGATGAAGCAGTAACGGATGACACAGTTTCACCATGCTCTGATATAGTAGTCCAGCCCACTTTTGAAGAAGTTAACTGACTTTCTGGAGTTCGCCCCCAGCTCTGTACATTTAAAGGTGCCACTGCTGGAGAGGACTGAAAAGGACCAGATTGCAGCAGAGAATGAGAGCTACCTCCTGATATCCCACTATATTCTGGCCAATACATTGCCATAGAGAAAGAAGGAGCACCAGAAACATGAGTAACAGCAGATTGACTTGATGGGTCCGTCAATGTTGCAGGTCGATGGGAAGGCAACCCAACAGAAAGAGGAATGACTCTACTGATCATAGCAGGAGTATCTTGCCTTTGAATTGATTCTGTCAAACCACTCCCAGCCACTGAAGCGATAGGAGAACTTGAAGGCACTTCAGAATATTGTGACTGGAACAAAAAAATGAAATTAAAAAATTTCAAGGCAAAATATTAGGTCCACTGACAAGCATGTGACTGAAATACCATCGATTTTTTTCCTGTCTTCAAACTTCAAGCATAAGTACCTGAATAATAGCTGGATCACTGAATATCTGCTCTTCTTTGATAGATGTAGAGAGGGACTTGACCTGCAAATCCTGAAAAGGACAACAAATCATTAGAATGTAAACAGCACAGGTCCCACAAGTTGTTGAAGTGAAGGGAGAGAACTTAGATTCAACCTACTACAGAAATATGGAATCAACTATAGGATCCCAACAATTAACATTAACTAAAGGAAAATAAGACAGCTTGGAAATTTCCAATTACTATCATTTATGGAGAGGGGTTTATTTAACACCAGCCTTAGTTATTCTATTTTAGATCTGATCAGTAGCTCTCCAGTTTTAAACACTCAGCTCTGGTTAGGATGACTTATTAAGTTATTCTTTACTGGCTGTGTCGGGATTTATGTTAAATAGGACTGATGATGAGATTTGATTCTGTTCAACCTATTCTTCAAATTTCCAGCAAGCCTGCTTATGCCAAAATTCAGCTATAATTTGTCCAGAAAAATCTTGAAATACAGAGAAGCATCAGCATATCCCCAACAACAAAAAATTCCTTCTAAAAGAAACCAAAATAAGCTCGGTTTGAAACATAGTGGATAGATACTCAGAAATCACTGGCAAAGGGTTCGGGGAACTTGTCAATGAAGGCTAAGGTGATCTATTACCAGGTTTCCAGAAAGAATCAACCTTAGGATGAGAACAGGACAAGCTAAGAAGAAAGATCATAAAAACGTTAAATATTTCAATTACATCACAAAAGCTTAGGTCATTTCTGAAATTAAAATTTATTCACAAAAAAGATTATGTAGGTTCTATCACCAACATTAAGCTTGTGCTGTTGAATGAAATAAAGGACAAGAAAAAGGGTTTTATTCCTCAATTACAAATGTATTTGTACATCATGATACTATATCAGAACCCCAAACCCCCAAGAAATAGGGACCCTGGAATGCTCAAGTGTACAGTTACTTTTCTTGACAGCATCACATTAAACTATGCCGCTGGATGAAATTATAATATGCTCACCTTAATGTCACTCCCTCGAAAAAGAATGTATTCATAAACCTTGTCATTTGGAGGAACTTGTGGACCATCTTTTCTTCTCCCCTCTGTTCCATAAGACTTGACTGCAAAATGACATAACAAACAATTCATGTTAAAATTTAAGAATAAATTCGCATAAATTTCATCAAGCAACTGCAACTCAAGTTAGAATTATCACATTATGCACTGATCTAAAAATTATTACCATATTCATTGAATATCTAGAATCAATTCTGTTATAATATAAAAGACTTCATGAAACACATTTTGCTACAGCGTGATTGCATCAACGCCTATTTTGTCAATGGGTGCAGTCAATCATCTACTCCTTCTTCAAGAGAGGTGGATTACAAAGGCACTGCCAAATGCCAATGCTGGTTAAAGTAACTTTATAGAACTAACCGTATAATTACCAAGCTTGCTCTTTCATTCTAGATTGATGATTCAGTCTTACTTAGAGTCCAGATGTTGCTCTTGCCTCTCCACTCAAAAGTCACCCAATGGCTTACATCTTACTGTAATAATTGAATTAGGATTCACATTATTTGGTTACTGGGCATTGACTTCTTACAGTCCATTGGAAACAAATAGCAGGTCCATGTTCCTTCCAACCAAATGCATATTGCCATATTCTACCATCTCGAATAGCATCATAAACTCGTTATTACAAAGACACCAGTAAGTTAATATCAAGGAGACATCAATTTTAACCAAAACCATCCATAACCTAATAAATAATTTTCACCCAATATAGTGTATCCCTGACTAAAAGTCTGAAACAGAGTAACATTCATTGGAAGCAGAGTATAGTACAAAATCCAGGTACCGCTCTTCAAGCCAATGGTGGAATCCCGGACGTCGAGGTGATACAAAACGCCTTCGTAACGAATCTCGTACTTGGAAACAAGACTGATAAAGCTCCCAATGTAGGATTCCGCCGCAGCTGAAGACGAAGCAAGGGGAGGTTTTGTGCCGGAATCACTCGCCATGAAGTGAATGAGATGAGCGTTGTTTGAGATACGAAATTCGAGCGCAGTTAGCGTCGAAGGAAGGGGAAGGAGCAAACAAAAAATGTAGAAGAAATAATTTTGAAGTGAGAGGTTTAGATTGTAGCGTTAGGGTTTGGTGGGAGGGTTGCTTCAATCGCTGAAGATGAATCCCCTGGTTTCTGTGTTATGATCAGAGAACAAGAATCGTCATTTCCCCTTGAACGAAGAAAAAAGCGGGCTCATGTTCGGACATGTTTCGGATCCGCGGCGTCTATACATTGTCGTACACACTCGTATTTGCTGTTTTCTTCTGCTTATAATTTGTCCCATTCTTTTTTTATTTCCCAAAATTAAGGGGAAGACAAGTCAATCAGAGATTACATTATTCCATTTCCACGAGACAGGTTAAAAAAAAATGTCATTTTAAACCCTCTTTTTTTTTACCTAAAATGTAATTAGAATATCGACTTAGCCATTTTTTATTACTTATGATTTTTTTGTTGAAAACAATCATATTCAAAATATGATGAAATACTAATTTTTACATATATCCTTAAAAATGTAAGGCATTTTTTAAGGAGTTGGATATTCATAAATACTCCCTTCGGTCCGCATTATAAGATCATTTTTAGAAGATATATTTGATCCATATTATAAGTCACTGACAGCTGAAGACTTCCCATTTTAAAATGAAATTCTAAAAATACCCCTGGCTACTTTACTCCATCTTCATCACAGCCACTCGAGTTCATTGAAAAGGTAACCTCTCTGAATTGAAAGATTTTGAGAGCTTCTCATCTAAATAATTCTTCCTTCGCATCTTCTAACTTTGTTGAGGTCATGTGTAAGAAGAAAGCTCACTCGTGCGTTTTTGCTCAGTCTGCTAAAGAATATGGTGGTTCGTGCATTTTTGTTCTTTTGCTCAGTCTGCTCTTTTTGTCATTTTTAGAAGAATGTGACTTGTCAAGAATTTTCCCCATTTCATTTTGGCCTTCCGGCCATGTAAAGTTGACAGACTTTATTTTACTAACAGACTTTTCTGTAAAGTATTATGAGAGAGAATTATTTAGAAAATAATATTATATTGTTTGGATTTTTTTTTGTTTTTTATTTGAAGGTTAGTTTTGAAATTTCATTTATAATTTTATTCTTTATACTGTTATTGCATTGGTATTGGTGAGGTTGGTAGATATGACTTATAAATATGATCGAAGGAAGTATAATGCATTTTAGGGTGAAACACCCTATTGAATGGGAGTAAATATGGAAAGGTGAAGTTATTTTGAAGACAAGTAATTTACTTTATTGAGGGTGAGATCCAGTTAAAAATATATTACATTTTTTAACATAGAAAATACTATTTTTTTAAGTATTGCTATTTTTTTTCTTTTGTGTAGTTATCGGCCATTATTCACTAGATGAGGAGCCTAATTCATTCTTTTAATTCACCTAGTCCATCATTCATTGTGTTGGAATTAAAAGAAATTTAATCCATAACAGTTGTATTAATAAAGAGAGTGTGTGCATATGTTTTTTCCCTTGAGTAAATGAAAAATTGAAGAGAAACTCCTAAATCACTTGTATTTTTATTTTGTACTAAAAAAAAAATAACATATAAGATTTTATTTAATTGAATTTGTTCAATTTTATTAAATGAATTATTAATGACGTGCTGTACTAAGAGCCTGTTTAGTTGGGTTTATTGATAGTAATAAACATTGCAATGGTAATGTCTGTTGTACATTTTTTTGGCAATAATCATTTATGAGAAGGGACTATGAATGATCATTGTACACCCTCAATTCTCTTGAAAATGTCCATTTTATCTTCATAACCAAGGTAAAAAGACAACAATTGCCCTCATCATTTCTCCGCCGCCTCCTCCCCTCTTTAGAAATTTTTCACCATTTCCTTCCTTCCTCCATCACAGGCTCTTTTCTCTATCCTCTCCCTCCCTCCTCCTTCTTCATTGTCTATTCTTTCTCCATTATCTGTTCTTTCTCTATTGTCTCCCTCCCTCTTTGTCGTATTGTCCGAGAAATCAAACCTATTGTTTTGCCTTCTCCTTTTTAGTCATTGATAATCAATACAGGACATGACAAAAGTGCTATCGTTGTTGCCTAATAGAATGGAGTTCAAACCAATTCATCAGATTTCTACCTAGATCTTGAATAGACAATGAAGAAGATCGAAAACCTAGAGAATTCTCAACATCATTCGCACTATCTCTCAAATGTCAATGTCATCTGCACCATATTTTTTTTCTTTGAATGCATGTGAACTAGCAGTGATTTCCACATCTGTTCTTTTTTCTTTTTATGTTTGTTGATTTCGTTCTTGTTGATGAGATTTATTACTGATTTTTTGGTTTATTTGATAAAGAAAATGATGGATTTATATGCCTGTGTTTATACTTATATTTTAATTACTCCAGACATGTGGCTGTGATTTTTGTGGTGAAGAAGACTATGAATTGGGAGAAGAATATTTTTTATTTTTTAATGGAGGGGCATTCTGGACTTTTTGTTATTATTTTTATTTGATTAAATATAAAAAATAATTTTTTGCCTAATCTTCTTAACAACATACCAAACACATTAATGGTAATGAGTATTGCATTGCTTTTCATTGCATGGCATTGCATTATCATCTTTAAAAACTAAGAAATTGAACCAAATAGGTCCCTAGTTCATCTAAAAATCTATCATATTTGGTGAGAGTGTTTAGACTATATGGGAAGCCTATTTTTATCTACCCTGATATTTCCCTGTTCCCTCACATAGGCATAGCCACTTGAGTCTCAACCCTCTCTTGTAATTAATAATCCATAATCTAAGGTAAACTTGAATAAAATTTAAAAATTTTAGAATTGGGCTTAAAAATTTTGATATTTTTCTTAGAATTGAGCATTTAATGTTAATTTGAATATGCCCAAGAAAAACTTTGACTAACCCTATTTTAAGTTTGGACTAGCCTGAATGCTTTGTAATGATTTTTACATGTTAAAATATTATTATTTTAAAGACTTAAATGCTTTGTATTAAATCATTGGAGTTACTTTTGAAGGTTGTTTCCTAATCCTATTTATGAGTCACTTGTAATATATTTTACAAAAAGGTAAACACTCTAACCCTGTGTTTGGATGAGAAGGAAAGTTGAGAGGAGAGAAGAGAAAACTAAAAAAAATGTTATCACTCCTCATATTTGGATGAGCAAAGAAAAACATGGAGGAAAGAAAATGAGCAAACATAACAATTATTATAATACCCTCATATAAAAGTATATTATATTTCATGTAATATTTTCATAAAAATAAGTTGAAGATAAAAATTATATTAAAATCAACATCATGAAAAATAATTTAAAATCTCATTCATTTTCTCCTTTCAATACTTTATTTTAACATTTGCACTATCTCACCACTTAATAAGTGTGTGTGTGTGGAAATTAGATGTTAATGATAGCAACTAACGAAAAAGGGCATATGTGTATAATACTTTACAAAGTAGAATTGGATATAAATGTTAGTGACTCTAGGATATTTAGCAATATCAGTGAGAGATGTGGAAGAAAGTGGAAGATGCTGATGCAAGAGGGGAAGAGTGATAGAGATGATTGTACTAGGCGAAGAAGGCTCGTAAGTGATGGTAAAGATAGAGAGAACAAATTAAAGTAATGATGCATGAGGACAGAGTGTGGAATGAACTTTTCTTCTCAGAATCTCTCCATATGTGAAGAGAAAATATGGTGAGTCTCGCACATCATATTCTCTCATACTTTTCTTTTTTCATCTAACTAGGAGAAAACTTGTTTTTTCTCCTAGTTTTCTTTCCTCTCATATTCTTTCTCCATCCAAACAGAGCATGAGTCATGGATTACTACTTTTATGAGATGGTTAAGACCTAAGAGGTTATGCCAATATGGAGCAAATAAGGACATAAAGTCTAGACCCACTGGTGGACAGAATAAGAACAATATCAAACTTTATTTGAGCAATTTGCATGGAGCGCTTTGGGCAAAGTTGATTATGCACATAGCACACAATTAACCTCAAGCAAGAGCCCGTTTAAATTTCAGTTGAGTATACTTAATTATAAAAAATTGATTAATATGATTAATTTTTATTATAATTGATTATGTTATAATGCGATCAAGTTTGGATATTGTTTTTTAAATTGTTTTTGATAAAATTGAAGATGTTTGGATGAATGAATCAAAATCAATTTTAGATATATAAATTACCATAAAGGACATTGCTTTTTAAAATTTAAACATCGATAGAGTGGTATATAATATTATTAGTGACGATTCAAATAATAAATTATACCCCATCCGTTTAAAAATGTAATGTATTTTTAACTAAATTTTATCCAAATAAAGTAGTTACTTACTTTCAAACTAACCTTAACTTTTTACATTCACTTCTATTAAATACCCTATAATAAATATAAAGCCATTCATTAATAGGGGCACTTTTGAACAAAAAGACAATAATTATACCTCAAAAGACTAAAAATACCTCACATTTTTTAAACAGAGGGAGTATCATTTAATAATATTAATAATTTAATATTTGTAAAAAAATAAAATTTAAATAATAAATCAAATATTGATAAATTTGCATATATATAATGTTATTAAATTTGTTGGACTTTATTTAACAAGTAAAATATATTATTTAACTAATATAATTTAAAATATATTATATTGTAATATTAATAATTTAATCAATCTAAAAAAATAAATCAATATATATATATATATATAAGTTAAAATAAATTTGATGAAATATGAAAATATAATTTAACAAGAATGAGAAAAGAAGGATTTATTTGCGTTTTGTTTGTTTATTACCCATTTTGAAATGGAATGAGATTATTATTTTTGACAAGAAGAGGGTGACATGTGCATCAATTCAATGCATATCCAAGGAAAGAACTTCGTGGCATGAGGACAGAACATGGAGAAGACGATGAAGAAGACACAGTAAGAGGCTTTTACAGCAGATGAAAGATGACATACTAGGACGAGTAAGAAGACATCACAGCTTAAGGACGAGGATGTTGGATATTGTAGACAGCAGTCACAATAAATTCAAGAGAGAGGTCGAACTCAAACACTTCTTATTGAAGGAAGATTTGCACCTCATCGAAGTTTGAGCTCTAGAGAAAGAAGATGATGGAGGTTTCAAATATGCAAGCCATACAGTCAAGGGCATATTTGGGAGGTTAGAATCACGGCAGATAATAATAGCGATAATCGATAATAAGAAGCTAATGAGATCAGCTTATCTCAA